AAAAAACACAATCAATCAATCAAAGATTTTCTACTCAGAATCATATTTACTCAGAATCATATTTACAGAGTAATGCTCCCTTACCCACGGTGTGCACATGTTAGTATGCCCACCGCTTTTGTGTCATGGTGATGGTAATATGTTCAAAAAATACATCACCAAGTGTACATGCCACATAAGCAGTAGACATATTAACATGTGTCCACCGTGGATAGAAGAGCATTACTGCATATTTACATGCCATTAATGACAAGCATCACATATTTCAAGATCAATTCAAGTATAAAATTTCTCACCCAAATGTTTTGACATTATTTATTTAGTGAGTAATGTTATAAGTACATAATATTGTACATAGGGATGTACATAATACACACATCGAGTGGGACTTAATCAAGTGGACCCCACTCCATGTGAGTGTTATGTATATCCCTATGTACATTTATTATGTACTTGTAGCATTTTCCGCATTTAGCGTACCAAATTGGAAACCTAATTGCACATTGTCAAATCATCATGAAATTTTGCTCAAGTATCAAATATCCACTGTTCTGCAGAGAATAATACATGTTGGAATACCACTTGTGAGTTGTCCCACATGATTCTATAGAAAAATGAGCCTAGTATATAAGCCTAGTAGGCTACTCCTCCCATCACCAATTGGTTTTGCGATGGAACCTCCCTAAGGTGTATCTAGGCTTAAGAGGGTGCGTCCCATCGGGTGGGACCGCACCCTCTTCCCCCGCTTCTAATAATACAAGTGTGTATTAAGGAGTTTTCTCTATCACACACACACACACAGACAGTAGCATAACAATCACTACAGAATAAAGTTGATAAACTCATGGCTGTGAGGGAGATCAGATAACTCACAGAGGAAAAGTAGGCTTTATCCTCTTTTTATCTCCACATACTATGTGAGAAAAGTAGGATCAAAGTACCAAGAAGTCCCAACATGAAGGCACCCACCAAGATACTCATGCTCTCAGATTTTTCTTTTCTTTCTTTTTCTTTTTATAAATTAAAAAAAAAA